ATTAAAATTATTTTAATTTAAAGTAGGGGAGTCATTTAATGTCATCCTTGTACATTAACAATATAATAGCATATAAATGAACCAGAATAAAAATTATTTTGGTTATTATTTCTTACTACTTGATATATCTGGAAATAAATAGATATAGTTTATATGATAAACAAAGAAATTTATTTATCATTAATAATAAAAAATAGTTTATTTCTTAATAGTTAATAAGTTGTAATTGATTTGAGTAAAAGGTATCAAAAACTGTCTCATTTGATTTACAACAGTTTTGTCCTTAGCTAAAACCAAACATATATGTCCTGGGTCCAAATGCACCCTTACTTATAAGGTATAAGTTATACCACACTTTCAATGGTATTTGCATTTGAAACTAGCCGTAAATATGCTGTTGTAATACTATGCAGGTATAACTGGATCAGGGTACTTATATCTTAAATATAGTTTGTTACGTTATTTTTATTCAATGATTAGTAGTTAAATTTATATTGATTTATTTTTAATTATAATATATTATAAATTATCAATTACAATGAGAGCAATAGAATATTTGTTGGCCGAGTACAGGGTTAATTTATTTTAGTAAAAACATTAGTATACTTGTACATTTATGTTCATTTTAATGTTAATGTATTTTATTTATGTATCTAGGTAAACTCAAATATGTTATTTGAAAAAATTATTAACATTTTATAATGTAATAAAATCATGAGGTACATTGCAAGGTACCAAACTATTTTAATAATAAAAATATATTTCCAATAAAATCTACAATGAGTTAAAATTATAAATAAAACTTTTACAATTAATAATATCATTATGTTTTGTTTTATCAAAGTGGTTATATAATTTTAAAATTTTATTTAATATCAGTTAATTATTTATGATTAATATGGTGATATACAGTTCGTATCAATCATATATATAGTACTGTATACTTTACAACATTATAACGTACCACAAAAACACTTTAACAAACAATTGTACTTTATCAGATAGGACGTACAATGATATTAACTTTATTTTGTTTTACAAATTTCTTTTTAGTTTTAAATAATTTAATTTTAACATTATTTTGATTTCGATTAAAATTATCTCTCAATTTTAGCGAATAATCCGAAATAAAATCTGTGAAAATAATGACTGAAAACCCAAACCACAGGCTTATGATACTTGCCATAAGGCATAGGTATTCCTCGGGATTCATCTTAAGCTGTATCTCATAGGTAACCATGGGATCAGAAGGTGCTTCCATGACCAGGGTATACGAACCAAGGGATTGACCATAAATCTTATATAGCTCATTTTTGACATTTAATCTATAATACTCTTTATAGCAATCTTGTTTCTTTTCACATAGTTTGTGGCATGATGAAAATGATTTAAAAGCCAAACTTAAATTATATTTAAACTTTAGACTTGAATTAAGGTCACGTGTCCATAAATATGGTGGTAAACCACGTGTTTTATGATAAAATTCTTTGTCTACACAATTCATGATACATTCATTCCTTATAATGGTTTCGTTACATCGTATGTGTGTGGGCCGGGTGTACATGTACTTCACCACTGACTTGCTATATTGCAACCGACATATACTACCCGTGGATATATTGACGTGTTTTATGGTACGTTTGTATATGCTATGCATAATTGCATGATTAGCATGGACAGCTATCCCAAGTGAATGATCAATGACCATGGACTTATTATTGATTGTAAACATTATCATATAAGGTAATATTAATTTATTTACGTCGATTGAATTCCCATCACGAAATTGATCCCGGTGCTCGGAAAATAAAGTAACACAATAATTTTCACCACTCAGGCCTAAGTTATACTGAGTAATATTTGAGCAATTTAAATATAAATAGCGATATAGGTACGATAATTCATTGTTATCCCGGTCATCTAAGTTATTATTATGAAGTTTACACGAAAATAAATCTTCCGGTGCTCTCATGATAGCAATCTGATCATGGATAGACAACGTATTTAAATATTCTTTAATGTCATTCTGGTTACTTTTATTTTTATAAAATATATCAAGGACATCCTGCCGAATCACTGATACTTTATTCATACACAGTGTTATAGCCGGGAGAGTTACGGTAGCCTCCAATTCGTACTTAACATCAGTAGTGGTTTGGTATCCAAAGTATAGTTCACTTATTTTATACATTTGATACATACATCCCATCAGACGTAGTATACGCCATGATATTTTATATAACTTTTTGGTGATCATTTTATAATTTAGGTAGGTGATCATTTTTAAAACTTTATATAATTTACGAATATAGAACAATACGAATATAAACATTTTATATTATATACAGTATTATAACTTACTGTCTATTAGTAAGTTATAACAACAATTTATCATAACTATAATATATCTTAATGAGTGTATTCACCAATTCATTTAATTAAATATAACAAACAAATTTAATCAAGCAAGTGTTTTCCTCATTACAGCATTAATGGCATACATTAACAATATAATAGCATATAAATGAATTGCTTATTTATAACCGGAATAAAAATATTTTGTTTATTATTTGTTATTACTTGATATATCTGGAAATAAATCGATATTGTTTATATGATAAACAAAGTAATTAATTTATCATTAATAATAATAAATAATTTATTTCTTAAAGATTTATAAATGTTTTCAATCATTCTATTTATAATATTATTTAATTAATTTTTTTAAATATCGAAAATAATTAAATTTAAATGTTTAAACACTAATGTTAATGCTAGAATAAAGGCCATGTCAAGAGTTTACAAATTGCCAATATAATTTATGGAAATTAACAAAATGAAATAAGCTAATTAAATTATATATGAATATGCAAAATTATTTTTTGTAACTTTAATAGTTAAAAAGTTAATCACGTTCAAAAATACAATAATTTTTACATATTGTCGTATTATAAAAAACTAAAGTAAAATAAATCTGACCATTTTATAATATGAATATTTTATGTTATTATGCTATCATTTGTTATTTTAAATAGTGAGAAATTATATGATTTTTATCACTCGGACTACATTATGTTCTGTTCATACTATTTTAGCTATACTATTGCATCAAATTTATTATTGTTAACATAACATAACTATTATAATAAGTTAACATATTATCACTAATCTTATAATCTTAAGACACTGAACCTTATAAATTCGGCTGTACAATAGTGCCAATTCTATTTTGCTTTACAAAGATCATTTTAGGTTTAATGAAATTAATTTGAAACACATTAATATTTCGATTGAAATAATTTCTTAATTTCAGGGAATAATCCGAAATAAAATCCGTAAACATAATGACAAAGAACCCAAACCACAGGCTTATAATACTTGCCATAAGGCATAGGTATTCTTCGGGACCCATCTTAAGCTGTATCTCATAGGTAACCATGGGTTCAGGTAGCGCTTCCAGCACCAGAATATACGAGTCACGGGGCTGACCATAAATTTTATATAGCTCATTTTTGACATTTAATCTATAATACTCTTTATAGCAATCTTGTTTCTTTTCACATAGTTTCTGGCATGATGGAAATGATTTGAAACCCAACATTAAATAATTTTTAAACTTGAGACTTGAATTCAGATCACGTGTCCATAAATATGGTGATAGTCCACGTGTTCTGCGATAGAAATCCTTATTAATGCAAGTCTTGATACATTCATCCCTTATAATCTGGCCTACAAAACTGTGTTCAGACTAATAAATATATAATTGAAAATTGTATACAGTGTGTGAAACATATTTCTCCAAAATTCAAAAACTGGTTTGAACTGGTTATTACAATTTGATGGATATAAATAATGTACAAATAATTTATTGTTTTAAAGTATGGTTACAATTTAATTTTAGAAATTAACTTAATTACCAACCAAATTAACTAAATAATGAATTAATGTTCTAAAATTATAACTATAATTTTTGTACTCTGTACTCTGTACCCGGTACTCTGTACGGTATTGTCAACAGCGAAGCAAACAGGTAATATAAGAACAATAGATATATACATGGTTATTTTATTGACACTCATCGTATGATTACTATGGCTTTCAACTGACTATTGGCTTATGACTCATAAGTTATGGGTAAAAAATATATCGATACGTTCGACTCCAGTCTATTGTGACATTCCTCGATATATAAAAACTCTTTGGGTGCTTGGTGAATATCCAGTGATAATTAGTAAAGCACATGCCACCTATGCAATATACTTGATAATATTACCGAATAAGTTGCTAGTCATATTTAAAATGCAAACATTGTATTTATTTTAATTCGGAAATAATTAATAAAATTTTAAAACTTTAACATCAAGTACGATTAACAGCCGACAAAGTTTTTCGGATCATTCAACTCGAGTCCATTCGTACAGAATATTCCGTTCACTTGTGTCGCGAACTCCGGTTTCTTAAGCCAAACATTCTTACAGTTCGTGCAATCGATTTGTGTCATCACTTCGTTCAATGGGTTTCCTTTCATAAACGTACTGAAAACTGCTTCATCCAGATATAGGATAGTCTTATCCTTAATCAGTACCAATGAGATGGGTCGTTTAGCGCCAGCAAATGCCGATTTACTTATACCATTCAAATCGATGTTATCGGTGTTTAGGATGAGCCGTAAGTTTTCTTTCAAAGTGTCGTCAAAGGCGAAGGCATTGTCAGAGATGGCGGTGATGTTAGCGCTCGCTATCTCCATATATCGGAGTGAACTTCCCAGCGATTTGAAGGCATTCCCCGATATTTTCAGATTTTGTTCACTTGTTATTTTGACCGTTGTCAAATTTTTGTGTTCCTTGAACGCGTTTTCAGGCATGACGTTTAAATTGTTGCGTGATAGTGTTAGTGTTTCAAGGTGCTCTAACGAGTTAACCAAGTTGCATATATCCAAATTATCAGTTAAATTTAGTGAGCTTGCTGAGAACTCTATTACGGAATCTGAGTTCCCTTTTAGTAGGTCTACATCAATATGTTTGAGCACTTTTGATCCACTGATTGATATCTTTTTAAATTTAATATCAGCAAATGCTTGCGCCGGTAGTTCAGCCACAGATTGTAGTGATAACGAAAGCGAGTCAAACTGCCTGTCCTTTTCATCGAGTGCCTTGCTTATATTTTGAAATAACCCTTTGACATCGGTGATATTACTGGAGTAGCATGATAACGATCTTGAATCGCCACTATCATAGCATGAGCATGGCTTTATTGTGGCGGCAACGGGACATTTTGAGTGAACCTGCTTTATTGTAGTGCATAGTACGGCAATTGTGATGATAGCTATTTTATTAAAATATAAATTATACTTGATTTGTTATAGTTTTGGAAACATTATCAAACGTAATAGTTAAAAAAAATTTTTAAAAAAAATTTTTAATCAAAACTTATTTATCAATTTTGTTATTAGTAATAACATATTACAATATTAGCATTAAATACTATTAAAATTAAGGTAATGTAAACTATTTTAACTACTACTGGTACACCATATTTAAATAATAATTAAAAATTATACTTACATAAATAATTCATTCTTTAATAAATACAATTTTAAAATTCAGTAGTAATAAAATTTTATAGTAATAAAATAACAATTACACGTATGCTAGTATAAAATGATATTCCTTTAAATATAAAAATTATCTAAATTGTACTTGAGACTAAAGATAACCTTGGTTGATATAAAAAATTTACTGTATAATATACTAGTGCATTTCTAGAATCCTGTCCACCTGTAACTTTTAATTAGAAAAGATAATTTTTATTTCTATAGAATTGTTTTTTGTATAATTTTTTGATAAAATACTTTATCATTAGTAACATTAAAATGATAACGATTAACTAATTAAAAAATATATTGCTTTAAAAAATAATTAAAAATTTAGTTTTACAATTAGCAGCCTGCAAAATTTTTTGAATCATTCAACTCGAGTCCATTCGTACAGAATATTCCGTTCACTTGTGTCGCGAACTCCGGTTTCTTAAGCCAAACATTCCGACAGTCATTGCAATTCATTTTAGTCATCACTTCGTTCAACGCGTTTTGCTTCATAAATGTACCGTAAAATGATTCATCCAGATATGCCTTTTCATTTAACACTGTCAATCAGACGGATCGTTTAGAGCCGGCAAATGCCGACTTACTTACGCCACTCATTTCAATATTAACTGAAATTAACGCTAATCTTAAGCGTGTTTTCAGCGTATCGTTGAAAGCAAAGGCATAGTCACCGATAGCCGTGATGTTAGCGTTCGATAGTTCCAGATATTTCAGGAAACTTCCCAGTGATTTAAAAGCATTTTCCGATATTGTTAAATTATTAACAAGTCCAATTTTAATGTTGCTTAATTTATTATTCCCTTTGAAAGCATTTTCAGGGATTATATTTATATTGCTATAAGTTATTGAAAGTTTTTCCAGATTTTCTAGTGAATTCACCACGCTTAATAAATCCGTACTAACTGTAAGGTTAACTTGCATAGCAGCAAACACCTCTACCGAGTCAGTGGTACCTTTTAGCAATTGCGCATCCATGTGCCCGTTTATGTCACTTAATGAAACTTGCTTAAATTTTAAATCCCCAAATGTTTGAGCCGGTAGTTCGGCCTCCCGTTTGTCTGATAATTCAAGTAAATCAAATTGCCTGTCCTTTTCATCGAGTGCCTTTGCTTATATTTTGAAACAATGCTCTTATATCAGGAACATTTAGTCGGGAACAGACTAATTGTGACTGGTCATCAAGTTCATAGCATATACAAGGTTTTAATAATGCCGATGCCGGACATTTTGTGTAAACTTGCCCTGATAGTGTTCCACATACAATTGCAATTACAATGATATCTATGTATAGTAAATAAGAATATTATAAAATATAATTTTAAAATTGAAATTATTATTGAATACTTACAATAGTTTTTCATGTTTATTTTAATGATAAACGTATGTGATGAATATTAAACAAATAAAAAATAAAAAAGGTATTTATATATTTATAATAATATAAGTACAATTAGTATATATATTTTATATAATTAAACGAATTTTTGTGAAACTTATAACAAAGTTCATTAACTATCTAAAACTTTTGATTAATCTTACTTGATAAAATTAAATACAATATAAAATCAATGTTCACTTGCACTTAATCACATGTACCGTACCATTTTATTTTTTTTGATAATTTTTTATTTTTATTAAAAACACATTTTAATTTTCACATACCATTTATATGATTTATTTTCTTAAGTACCATTATCATATGATTACACCGAAGGTACTTTTAAATAAAGTGATAACCTTTACTTTTTAAAAAAGTTTATTACAACCTATATTAGTAATAAATTAATTGAACTTCATTCATTACAAAATTAATATGTAATTTACTAAAAACCTTACACCAATCAAGGTCACTATAATTATCGAGCACATATAGTCGTAAATTAATTATATAAAGGCTATTTGAACAGCTATTAATTACTAAATAACTAAAATCATTACACTGCACAGTTACGTATTTTTATAAATTACACAATAGTCATGAGATTACATTTATTTAATATAATATTATTAATTTTGCCATTTGTATATGCTGTACCATTTGTATACAATGAGCCTGGTAATGATTTCAAAGGCAAAAATTGGGTAATTTTAGTAGCCGGTGCTAAAGGTTGGGGCGATTACGCTAGCCAGGTATATAATTTTATTTCTATATTTAATTTAAAATAGAAAATAAAATTTAAAATCTAATTTATATAATGTAATACTATTTTAATTTAAATTAACCCAGTCCAGTGTGTATCACGCCTACCAAGTTGTCCACGCAAACGGCATACCTGATGAGAATATTATTGTATTTCACCCGGATGACATCGCGTATAACCCTAACAATCCTGTACCAGGTACAATCATTGATAGGCCAAATGGCACGGATGTCTATCATGGGGTACCCAAGGATTATGTCGGCAAAGAAGTCAACCCTAATGTATGAAAACATTTAAAACATTATAATATTAAATATATGAAAATATAATTAAATTTAAATTTTATAAAATTTTTAGACATTTCTCGAAGTGTTGAGAGGCAGCGAAAAGTTGGCCACAAATGGCAAAAAAGTTTTAAACAGCGGACCCGACGATCACGTGTTTATTTACTTTCTCGATCATGGTGCCCCTGGTGAGTTTCCACTTGTCAGATTATTTTGATAAGATAAAATTATTTATTTAAAATGTGTTATATATGAAATTTATTTATTTGAAACTCATTATATTTTAGATGTAATCCTATTTCAAAGCGAGTACTTATACGCCGAGGAGTTAAACACTGCCCTAAAGGACATGCATAGAGACCAGAGATACGGGAAACTAGTGTTTTATTTGGAGGCCTGCGAGTCAGGTAATTAACGTTATGATATACGTGGGTATATTGGTATATACCATAGCCAACCATTATAGGACAGTCTATCTAATCAATCTAATCTGATTTATACTATTTATTAGTAGTTTAACAGTAAGAGTTGACTAATTTTTTTGATAATATCAAATTAGCCTATGTTAGATTATAGTAAGTTAGGTTAAATTAAGTTAGCTTTCCTATAATGGTTGGTGAGTCAAAAATATAAAAATATAAAAAATATTATACTAGTTTTTATTAATTTAAATAAACTTAACATAAATCTGATCTTGAAAAATAAAGCCAAGTTATATTTGACTTTAAGTCCCAGATACATTATATTTTCCATAAATTATATTAATTATGATATTTACTTATTATAATTTTTTTTTCACCAGGTTCCATGTTCGACAAACTATTACCAAATAATATAAATATATACGCTATTTCATCATCTAAGCCGACACAAAATAGTGGTAAAATGTTTGATGATAAAAAGTATAAAACCATGATAGGTAAGTTATTTATTTATTTGTATTTATAATAATTTTATAAAAAGTAACATAAACATTTAATTGCGCAGGCAGTTTCTTTGCGTACTTTTGGCTGCTAAATGATGAGCAAGCTGATTTGCAACTGGAAACATTACAACAACAATTTGATTATATATATACCTGGACAAATATACCCAATAAGGAAGCTTATAATTTTTCGCAGCAAGCACAACAGTATGGTGACCTATCTATTGCTAAACTACCTGTCTCACAATTTATTGGTAATTTAAAATTAAAATTTTAATAAATTAAAAATAATAATTTTATTAATATTTATATATAGGATATAATAAAAAGTCAAACAAAATCCAAACTGATCCGGACATTGATATGCTAAAGGACTGGGATGTAGTGGACAATAGGGAAGCACCGGTATATGTGTTGAGAAATTTGATTGAAAATAGCGACGATTTAGTTGAGAAACAAAAGTAAATAAGTTTATAATTATATGAAATGTGATATAATTTTAAAACATTTATATTCATAGATATACTGAAGAGTTGGAGACTATACTAAAAGGTCGCGAATACGTGGATAACGTGTTCAATGAATACGTGAATAGTATTCAACACTTAATGCCAAACATCGCAACCAATGCTATACTCCATACGAAACAAGAGCTCAATAATAGACACTGTTATCGACAACTGGTCGACACTTTCCACCAAAACTGCTTTAATTTGAATCAAGTATTTACAGAATAGTTATTTTTATGCCACGAATATTATTATACTTTATTGTTTTAATACACAGAATCCATACGTGTTGTCAAAACTGCAAATATTTGTGAATATTTGCGAACAAATGCTTGACTCGAGTGATGCGGACATTGCTGTCAACCGATTGATACAACACTGCGATAGAAATGTTATTAAAAATAATGCAGTTGATAATATTGTATAAATCTACTATTTCTAAAAAATAAATTTCATTATATTATTTGTAGTAAACTATGTAAATAATGATATTAATATTTTTATTTGATAATTTCTTATATAACCTATACAATAAATAAGTTGTCATAAATAATATATAAGTTTTTAATACAATTGCTATAGTCCAAATTATCTAATAGCGTGACTGTATTGTTATAAATCATTTTTTAGAAATACATAATTATTCAATTAAAATTTGACCTAATTCAAAATACATTATTGGGAATCAATACATTAGATATTTATTCATGATTTATAACGTAATATTTTTATATTATATAAGTACATTACATTATTGTATATTATTTTAGTGTACATTATTGTATTGCATAAATGTAGTTTATTAGTTTATAAAGTTATTATTGCACTTAAAGTATATTGCCAAAAATATAATATAACAATAATAAATGTAAATAATAAAAAAGTTTTATTACAAAATGATACCAAGACAAAAAGTAGCAAATTATTTCAACATTATAAACATAATAATTGCTTACTATTTAAATGATATTGCTGATAAATCACGTGGTAGTAAACAAAATTCATTTATAGACTATTTAGTATTGGTTTGTTATATACTACACGCATGTAAAACAATATATTGTATAAACACAGACTATGCTACCAGGCTCATATTATATGATTTACCTGAATTCATTGGTGGTATTCACGACTATAATTCAATAATGTTTATATTAGCATCAGTTTTTGGTGTGTTTATATTTTATAATTTTCACCTACGACAATCACAAATTAAGTCTAAATATAGTTTGGTTATAGAATTTATAATAGGCAAAATAAATTCTAAACAATTAACACGAGTCACCTTATTTGAGCAGGATATTTTATTTATAAAGAAAGTATCGCGTTATATTTTATTTGCAACTAATCTTGGTTTAATGACAAGTGGTATATAAATCTGATTTAACAAAACGGAACGTATATTTGAATTATTATACAGTATTAACAGTTTTGAAAATATAATAAATTATACACTAATTATATATGAGACCTAATAATACAAAAAACGATATTGAACCTTGTTGATTTAAGTAAGTATTGTTTATTAAAATGCCTGACAAACAAAATTACCAAGGTTTAATAATTGTTGTGTATTTATTGATCTCATAATAGTAATATTTATAAATGTTTAATTTTATAATATTCTAAATATAGTTCCGTTTATAAAATTATTTATTTAATTAATATATTAAAATTTTAAATCTATATTTTAAGTATCAATGTCAACATTGCAATTAATTTATATTAACATAAAATATTATACATGGAAAATATATTTACAATCATTATTACCGCAAACTATCCAGCTTGTTGCTTATTTTGTGCTCGCAATTGATGTAACCATGGCAGTTTTATTTGTCATATTAATAATTGTGTATTTTATCAGGGTTATAAAAACGATCAACAAGTGGAACCCGGATAATAAAAATAGTTTATTCATAACATACGACTTTTACAAATCGGCAGACAATTTCATGACCCAGCACAATTACTTTTGCACTGAATTGACCATGTATAATCGGTATTTATCGCAATTCTTTATGGCATACGTAATCGTCATAATACCCATTAATTTATTACTTTTACATCAATTCCTGTTTGAAAACATTCAACTAAAACTGCAATTATTTTACCAGATTACTATAATTTTAGTGACCTTGCTCGGTTTTGAAATAGTATTCATTTACGCCTACCTGTCCAAACAAATACATAAGCCATGCATAGGACTATCACGACTCCAGTGGCGTATCAATGGCTACCCGTTTCGCATGCGATTCAAACTCAAACTTATGGCGTATTTCGAGAGATTGAGTAGTAGTCGGAAAAT